TGAAAAGAGTGCATCTTAAAGCATTAAACACAAAATAGGGAACAAACAAAGCACTTCTAAAAAGAGGTCTACATGTAAGATATTTGATATTTCAATTGACCGAATAATAGTAGCCTGTGATCTCCTGATCTCTACACATGATACAACCATCTTCAGCATTGAGCAACCATCAGCATGTAGCCTTTACGGCACGCAAAAGACATTTTCCATCGATAACCTCGGTTGGACCAAGCAAATTGTATGTATATGATACCTTTCTACAAAACCTCCAACACATTAACAAATCATGATCCCTCTAGTGTAAGTAAAACCCAGCTTCCCACAGTCCCAGTTGGATTTTACGACTTGTTAAGAAACCACTCTCTTCAGAGAGATGCCATTAAACATTTCACAGGACAAAGCGCATACCGTAGAAGACCTGATTTTGCACTAGGTTCCCTGCATAATCTCAAAGTTCTGATTCAATCTCATAGAATCTCTCAAAATCCTAAGCTGGTTTTCGTACTCAGTTTGCCCATCTCATACTCAACCATGACACGAAAGTGAGAATTTGGATATCGAAGCTTGTGGTATATACCTATGAAGGGGATGCGGATGCCGAGCGCGCAGACGGCGCGGTCCTCCTGGGACCGCCGCCTGCCTCTGTCAACCGCCACGTGGCACCCCCTCGGGTGCGGCGGCGGCGGCGGGGAGGAGGAGGACGACCTCCGGTCCCCATCCCCCTCTCCGCCGCTGCCAGCGGAGGGTGCGAGGAGCGTCCAGCGCGGGCAGTGCGCGGACTGGAACACCGCGGGCGCCCCGCCCTCGCGGTACACGGCGAGGCAGGTCGCCGACTCCCCCGCGCACCTCCGCGGCGGCGCGACGAGGACGAGGACGACGAGGCGGAGGAGCGCGGCTCGGAGTAGGCGGCGGCGGCGGCCGGAGCAACCCAGCCGCATCGGGGAGTCGCCGCCGCTCGCCGGAGTTGGGGGAAATGGTAGGCGAGGCTTTGCGTGTCCCGAGCTCGTGGTGGGCCCCACCCTCCAGCCTCTATGAGACGAAGCGTCGTTACATTTTTGGGCCTGAACGGGGCCGCGACCTCTCCATGCGGCCCACAAATGTTGGGCCGGAACGGGATTGCGGGGTACCTGCAGCCCATATACGTTGGGCTGGAACGGGATTCCAAGGTTCGTGCGGCCCATGTATAGGTTGGGCTGAAACGGGAACGTGCAGCCCATATTAATTAGTGAAAATCCAAGAAATGTTATTATTCACGAACGCCCAAGTCCAAAAAGTTCCATCGATGATTGCGAGTTTTTGTTTCATATCATACAAAGGACTATATCCGTAAATATGATCGCCCTCATTAAGTGCTATAGAACGAACATCATATTTAATAGGGCGGGATGAGTGAAACCCTAGCAATTATAGTAATTCTAGGGCAAAGTCGTTTGTACAATGATATATTTCATGAAATTCACACTCATCAAAAAGTATTTATATTGGAATTAGTGGCTTGTCAATGAAATATCTTGGATTTTCTCAATTGAAGTAAGCCCTGACGGGATTCCGGTGTACCTGCGGCCCGTAATGTTGGGACATGAATGGGCTTAATGTGGCCGTACGTAATATAGATGGAAAAAGTACACCGAAGGTCCCTCAACTTGTCATCGAATTACAAAATCGTCCCCTAAACACAAAACCAGATATATAACATTCCTTAACTTACAAAACAGTTTGTTTTACATCCTTCGGTGGTCTTGCACCCGGTTTTGTCCTACGTGACGGGTAAGTCAACGTGGGCCTCACATGTCAGGACGCCATGTCATCAGCTCCGTCTTTCCCCTCCTCTCCCTTCCTCTTTCTCTCACTCATCTCCCTCTGGGTAGGGCGGCCGGCAGTGGGGAGGAGGTCACCGGGACGAGGAGGTCGGACGGGCGATCGGCGATGCGGCGGCGGCGACACGGAGAGAATGGGAGGGAGGCGGCGATGGGGGCACGAGGGAGATCAAGCACTGCGGCGAGCGGAGTGGGGCGACAGCGAGGCGGAGCGGCACCACGCGAAGCTGGTGAGGCGGCGGCGGGCAGAGAAGGCCGGCGAGAAGGTGGCACGCGAAGCCGGCTGCACGGAGCGGGGCAGGTCGGTGGCGCGCAAAGCCAGCGAGGCGAGGCGGTGGCGGACGACGATGGCAATAGGTTTGAGGAGGAGGAGGACACACATAGCTCCTCCCTCGCCACGGCGACCTCCGACCGCCACCGACGCAGCTCATCGCGCCCGCGGTCAACGCGACGCCGGAGCTCAACACGATGCCGGAGCTCCTCCACCGTCGCCCACTTCCCCCCGCCTCCTCCTTCCTCGCGACGATGGCGCCGTTCTTCGACGCAATGGCAGACCTGAGCCGGCTTCGCATAGTGCCACTCCGCCCGCCGTCGTGCTCGATCTCCCTCGTGCTCCCGCCGCCGCCTCCCTCCTCTTCTCCCGCTTCTCCACCGCTCATCTCTCCTCCCTCGCCGCGGCGACCTCCGACTACCGCCGACGCATCTTGTCGCGCCCGCGGTCAACGCGATGCCAGAGCTCCTCCACCGCCGCCCGCTTCCCCCCGCCTCCTCCTTCCTCGCTACGACGACGTTATTCGTCGACGTTTGATCTCCCCCGTGCTCCAGCCGCCGCCTCCCTCCCCTTCTCCCGTGTCGCCGCCGCCGCATCGCCGGCCGGCCGTCCGACCTCCTCCCCACCGCCGGCCGGCCTGCCCAGAGGGAGATGAGTGAGAGAGAGGAAGGGAGAGGAGGGGAAAAAGAGAGCTGAAGACGTGGCATCCTGGCATGTAGGGCCCACGTGGGTCCCACGTTGACTCACCCGCTATGTAGGATAAAACCGGGGTCAAAACCACTGAAGGGTGTAAAACGAACGGTTTTGTAAGTTAAGGGATGTTATATATTTGGTTTTGTGGTTGGGGGACGATTTTGTAATTCGATGATAAGTTGAGGGACCTTCGGTGTACTTTTTCCAATATGGATCAGGTTGGACTATCATGGGCCTGGGAAATTTAGGCCCATTACGCTATGAATGAAATTAGCAAGGCAGAGCGATAGATCGTTCATTGATACAACAAATTCAAACGTTTTTAGATCGAATTGAAGTTGGTTTACGTAAGTTTGTCCGTGCGTAAAATATAGTCTTTTCGTTCGTGTGCAAGATATAGTTAACGCACTTGTCAATAACTTCATAATTACAGCTCAATCTTGTTATTTAACCACAATACGCGTTAGTTGCTTTCAAGCCAATTTAAACCCAAGTATCCACATCGATACACCAGGAATTGGCCAATTTGGCACTTTTTTCTGGCAATTTGGTCAATATACAAAACAAGCAAAACTTTTGACATCAAGCACACAAATTAAAACCCTAATAATGATCATGTAAACAAGGCTCTCCCAGTAGTGGATAACTTTCAATAAATCAGTAGTGTTTGAGACGCATAGGAGAGCTTATCATCACAATCTCTTATCCTCTCTATCCAGCCTCATCATGTGTTCTATGAGCTCATCTGATAGTCACCACAAGCCCATTAATAAACGATTCAATTCAACGAGTTCAGATTTATTTTCTCTTAGCATGTGGCTCTGAGTCTGACACAGAAGCTTGCAGCTGAAATTCCATCAGAAAAAAGTGAGGCAGACAGCCACTACCCATGAGGTGAGCATCCTTTGACGTTTTCTTGACATTTTCAGATGGATATGCCAAGCTAGAAATGAAATTTAATGGAAAAAGGCCTAACTTTGTCATGTCTGCCTGGATGGTTACACCTATCATTTACCTAAACACAACTTTAGATGTGATATCATGGAGATCTTGTGTTGTAAGTTGTAACATGTTGTTTTTATAGGTGATGAAATCCAGCTTTGTTGTTGAAATTGTTAGGCAGACCAAGAAAAAGATTTGCATGAAGCCAAATACAAGTGTCTGATATGAAATCTTGCATCACACCATCCTTTCATTTCATTTTATCTTTTTGACCATGTATCGTACTAGTACTATATAAAAAGCATTACCTCGTCTAACTTCACATCAATATAATTAGTAGAAATCGTAGTGATTCATAGAAACAGCTCCATCGTTTGCTCTTTGGCTTCTCAGCCACATCCAAAATTTGAATTTTTAAACCATAATTTTAGAGTTGATTTTGATTTTTTTTTCATCATTGGCTTTTAAATTGCTAAAACACAAATATAAAAATTTTACCCACATTTTCCTCTCTAATAAGTGCTACGGCTTATAATCAATTATAGGCGAAAAAATGTGGCTTTTTAAATCCTTTTTTTTAACATTGCCCTTTTGATTACTAAAAAACTATATATATATATATATATATATATATATATATATATATATATATATTCTGAAGTGTTAAAAATTCAAAAGACAAAAAAAAAACTCTGTGCCTTCATAAATCCAAGCCATGGACCATGTCAGAGATTTTTGGCACTCATCAGTTCGTCCACAGATATCCATCCGGACCGTCCATTTTTGTCTATAGCATGCATGTACCTTCACTCCAGTGCAGCAGCAGACTGAAGGAATCCTAGGTACGCGTGATTCTGAATCTCTCACAGCCATCTGATCTCATTCTGACAGCCATGGACCATCATGCGTACGCCATTGATCACCCATGACGCATCACCAGAAGATGATAATCATCCGGTCAATTCAACTGATACTGCTGATGATGACTTGTAAGGAGAAAAAAAGATTGGAATCCCATGAATTCTTCTCTCCCAGTTTCACCATTCATGGACCATCCATCCACTGTCAAGCAAAGTGCTCCAATCATGGCAGCACTGACTTGACTGATCAATGGATGCCACAAATTCTTCAGACTGATGATGACTGCTGTTAATAAACAAATTAAGCAAAGAAACAATTCCAAGTTCTTCTAATCCACATGGCATTGTTTCTGATAGTTTCATCAGTTCATTTTGTTTATAATCAGAAGAGAAACAAAGCACATGTGCAATCAGTGATTAGCATCAACTTTGACAGTTTTGCGCAGACGCCGACACAAACCTTCTCCATTCTTTTTCTTCCATTTTTCATTTACACATGAGATAGTCAAAACTTGTTGGGAACATGGGGTTGGGGGAGGGCACATGGAGGGTACAATTAGGAGGGGGGCTTAATCACAAAAATATAATAATTTACTAAAAAAAGGACTCTATGATGAGCAACATATTCTAATTAAGGACACAAGGAATTGGGTTGGTTTTGGGGGTGGAGGGCCTAAATTGGCTACTATCCTTACATTGATCTGCTGTGTATGGTACAAAACATACACTTGGGGTATGGTTGGCTATGTAGAGCTCCTGTATGTACAACAATGGGGGGCTCAGGGTTCTTGGCTGTTCACCCGGTGATGAAGCTCGAGCATCTCCTGGTGGTTAGGATCCACGGAGAGCGCTGCGCGGCAGTCCCGGAGTGCACTCGAGATGTCGCCGACATGCTCGTGGAAGGCGGCTCGCAGGTGGAGCAGGTTCAGGTCCGCCTTGAAGGCGATTGCTTTTGTCAGCTCCGCGATGGCCTCCTTCTCTTTGTGGTTGTCCATCAGCACTGAGGATTCCAGATCAGCGAAAAAAGATGCATGAGAATATCAAACAGATGAGCTAATTTTTGAACTGAGTGAAATATGTGGTTGTTACACCAACTGATCAAGTTGAGCATAGAATATTGCCAAACAACATTGACTTCTTACCAGCTTATGATAGGAAAAGGAGTAGTTGGTTAGTTATAATAGCACAAACCTCTGGGAGTTGGACACCGATGAGCTACATCTACTAACAAATTAAACTACTGTGACCACGATTTTATATCCAAGTTTCAACCTGCTTTGAAACTGGTGGTTTGCTATCATGACAAATCTTGTCTCAGTCATACCTATATCATAACAAACAAGATTTGCTAGGCAGGAAGCGGTGCTTACCAGCAGCACGGTATCTGTAGGGGTATACACGCAGAGGGTCTAGTTTGGTCACCATCTGCAGGTCTGATTTTGTTAGCTCACGATCACAGTACTCCGACCTCTTCTCATAAGCTGATGCGTTGCTCCTGGCCTTCTCTATTAGCTTGGTCATTTCCTCATATGCACCAGTTCTGCTGTTTCTGAGGAAATGGACCCTGGCAAGGCCTTGATGAGCTCTGGTATGACCAATCTTTAGGGCATTGATGTAGCATTCAGCTGCCAGGTCAAGCTTCCCGCAATCCACATAAACACTCCCAAGGTTGTTCAGAGCCTACAAGATGTCACACATTACGATGAATAAGATGTACCATTCGCGAACATCTCAAATCAAATACAATGCTGCAGATTGGGTCAACCAATGTTACAGAAATAAAATGTACACTGTCAGCTTAAGCTGATAGAAAAAAGTACTGATTGTGGCTGGTCGGTCCATTTAGCTAAACTGATGAAAAAAAAGAGAGCAAAGTTTCATTTAAGTCAGTCCACTCATCCATATGGTTGGCAATTATCAGTAGCATCAATGGTATCAGATGTCATAACTCATAACTTAGAAACATGTTAGATACTTGATAGGAAATCAAATCACGCTTGCAGTGCACCTATGAGAAGAATTGATGGTTGGCATGTTATGAGCACCAGGACAGCCAATTTTAATAGTGAGAGCGCCATTTGCATTAATAATTCAATAATGAATAGGACATCTTAACTTCCTAACATAGGTGGAGCAACAACACCTGATCTAAATAACAACCAACGAATTTGGAAAATGAACAAATGCATATTATGCCATTATGCCTCAAGTACGAAGGTATTAAAAGATAACTCAACAAGGTAAAATTACACTTCATGTACCAAGAACCCAATTTGAAACCTTTGTTTGACTACTTCAGAATGTGCTACAAGGGTATAAAGTATTCCTATTTTTGTTATGAGAAATATGATCTCAGAATTTGCATTATGTCACAGCAGAAACAGGACAGCAACTTGTTATCATGCATGGTCTGTTTAGCTAAGTAGAATTGATGAAAGGATGTGGAAGAAAATGAAGTCATAAAGCCATACCTGACCCTTCCGTAGTCTATCAGAGGGGCAGCGTAATGCATCTTCAAGAAGTGATACAACTGTTGCTGAAGTTGAAGGGTCAAGACTCGAATCAGCCAAAGCATAAGCTTTCAGAAAGAATGCTTCAAATGATCTTTGTATTGCGATGGATGCTTCTGCTTTCTGCAGTCCCTCCTCACAGTGGCCGGTATCATACAATATCCATCCCTCATAAACAAGCTGTTCATGTTGGCTTGCAGCATGTTCACGAGCTAGCTGCAAACTGCGCATTGCAGCCTCAGGACAATTTAATCTGAAAAAAAAAGGTTAAAATAGTATTAATCACAACATCCCTGAGATTCTAGCACAAGAATTAGACCATGATGTAAGTTGGTCAGGAGGCATGTGCAACTATGCTGATAAACCATCTGGTAGTTTGGCATTCCAAATGAATCCACACACTAGAAGGTGTAAGACATGCCAGGCAATGCAAACCATGTGCTATACATCTACAATGCTAATCACTGATGTGCTGTATCATTTTTTAATCATGCTAACTCTTATTCTGTGCAATAAAATAAGTTAATTAAGTTACCTGAGAAGAAGCAAAGATTGCCTAAAGTAGAGAACTCCTTTAGCAGCATCTGACTCCAGCATTTGATATATGACCGAGAGGGATCCTATATCATCCACAGATGACCAACGATCATAAAGCTGCATCCAACAGTCAGCAGTTGTCCACTGCTCAACATTCTCCATCACAAGCATACGCAGCTGCTTTGCAGACACCCGACCACCAATCATACGATAATCTGGAGCAAGAGTGAGGATTGCCTGGACATCACATAAAGCAGCTCTATGGTCCTCAAGTGCAAGATAGCAACAGAACCTTAGCTCTAAGCATTCCAGAACAAGCTTAAATCCCAGGATCCGGTTAATCTCCATAAGGGCAGCTTCAACGCTTTGTCTTTTCATCAAAGATGCAGCTCGAAACATGTAGGGGTATGTAAGGGTAGGATCCAACTCAGTGGCCTTGTTAAGATTTTCCAACTTGTTATCACCCTCCAAATATAGTGCTCTCTCTTGGTACATCCATCCAAGTGGCCAGCGAGATGACATGACAGAATCAAGCAACTTGAGAGAAAAATGCTTATTACCCCTCATAGAGGCCAGTCTAGCCAAACCCACTACTGAATAGAGATGTCCAGCGGTAAAGGCGGCATTGAACAGGCGCTCGGCTTCAGCATAATCTTTCCTTAGAAGTCTTGTGCACGCCAGCTGATGCAAGGCCAACTGCTTCTGTCTAGAATCTGATGCTGAATCCACCAATTTTTCCAAGAAGGTCACCGTGACATCCGATGTCGCGTTGATGCTCATGGAGACTTCACTAAGAAGGCAATATAGGGAGAAAGAAGCATTTCCAGCCATTGTGGATCGCTGCTGCTTACTTGCACAGGAGAATATCCTAACCACTTGTTCATCATTCAAGCACTCTGGAAGCTCATTCAGGAGCACCTGCAAGCATGCAGCAGCAAGGATGGAACAACCCAGCTCAAGAGCACACTCCATGAAGTCTATAGCATCCTGCCTCGAGCAAATGAAAGAAGCAAGCTTTCGCTCACAAGCATCCTTGAGGCCATTGCAGCAAAACTTATTAGCAAAATCAAGCATTTCCAAAATAGCATCTGCTGATAAATACGGTAACCTTCCTGTCAAGCTGAATTTACTGATTGCTCGCATACCAATCGAGGAGATGCCATTCCGAGACATATCAATAACCTCAAGATGTGATTCCCGAAAGCCACCGTTAAGCATTGCATACAGCGGAGTCGACAAAGCAGCAAGCTTTCGCCGATCGCATGCAATCATATCATCTCTTATCCGGAAATGTACCACCGGAGAGCCCCAAAACACATCCGACTCATCATCATAGCTTATCTCATGCGACCCGGTGGAGATCTGCGACACGAAATCCAGCAGCTTGAACTCCTGAGAGCACTTGCCACACGAGCTGAGGAGGTCGGATATCGGCTCCTCCCCTTTCTTCTCATACTTGAGCCATGCCCCGAATATCAGCTTCTCGTGTATCGTGCTCGCCTTCTCCCACGCGGACTGGAGGCTCCTCCGCGACAGCTTCACCTCGCCGAGGCCGCGGAAAACCTGGAACTGGAGCAGGTACAGGCACGACTTCTCATCAGGAGGGCAAGACTCCAGCTCCTCATGAATCTGGGCCAATATGTCCACATAATCCGCAGGCTTGAAGTGGGGAAGAACCACCGGCTCCGGCATTTTCATCAGCGATTCTCTGCACCACAACCACAACCCACCAAGAATCAAATTGATGAACATCACAACCAACCAACCAACCAGCCAGCAAAGCTCTTCAGAACTATACCAGTAAAATCTGAATTTTGTGAATCTCTCTCTACACAAAGTACTACTAACAAAGACCAGGTAACTAACTAAAGTAGCAGGATTCAGAACAAGCCAAACGCATCATGTAACAGCAAGAGAGAGAGAGAGAACTTACATGGAGGAGGTGGAGTGGCCGGCGAACTTGGAGAGCTTCCCTTTCTCGAGGGGAAGCCATGAGTGGGGCGCGGAGTGGAGCTTGGTCTCCTTGCAGGAGGTCAACTCGGAGAAGAAGAGCTTCCTCATGCTGCCCACATACCAAATCACTCAGGACAAATCCCCCCTCCAAGAATCGCAAGAATTCAACCCCCTCCGCAGAGAAAGCAGCCGCCTTCGAAGCCCTAATCCAAAGAAGAAGAGGAGGAGGTGGGCTGGTAGAAAGAGGGGGGAGACGCAAAGGCGAGGACTTTAATGGCGCACGAGCACGAGCTGTAGCTGTAGTAGCTCTCGCTGAAGAAGAAGAAGAAGCCAAGAACTAACCACTCCCCCCACAAACTCCCCTTTCCTCTACCCCCAACCGCCGCACAAAACACCACCACCAAATCCAATCTCCTCCACTCCAACCCCTCCTACTCTCCTACTCCTACAAGAGAAGAGGGGAAAAAAAAAAAAAGCTCCAAGATTTGCAAGGCAGGAGGAGGAAGGAAGAAGCAGGGAGGCGTGCACTGAATCCCAAGATTCAAGGAGGAGGAGCAGCTGCTGCTTTGGAATGGAATTCTTGGGAATCCTAAGCAGCTGAAACAAGCAGCCACAGAATTGGTGATCTCTTCTTTTTGGGGAGGAGAAGATGAGAGAGAGAGAGAGAGAAGAGAGAGAGAGAGAGAGAGAGAGAGAGATTGGCACAAAGCGGCTGCTCTTTGTGCGCTTTATCCCCTCTCCTCCTTTCTTTCTCGAGGAAGAGAGAGAGACAGGACGATGGCACGATGCAAAATTGCAAAGCGTGTAGAGAGAGAGAGAGAGAGAGAGAGAGGGTAGTGAAACAGAGAGGAAGTTGTTGTGGTCGCGGCGAGATTAATCCGCGTTAATTGCGGGGGTTAAGTCGGCCATCCATCGAGGACAAGCCTAACCCCATCGTGTCCACCTGGCCACTGTGCTGCGCGTCAGCGCTGTGGCTCCCATGGTTTTTTGGCTACCACTGATTTTCTCTTTAAAAATCTTTAAATACTCCATCCATCCCATTTTAAATACAACCATAATTTTTCGTGCTCAACTTTGATCGTCCGTCTTATTTGAATTTTTTTATAATTTATATTTTTTTATTGTTATGAGATGATAAAACATAAATAGTACTTTATACATGACTTATGTTTTTAATCTTTTTTAGAAAAACATTAAATAAGTCGGACGATCAAAGTTGTGCATGAAAAAATCATGGTTGCACTTAAAATAGAACGGAGGGAGTATATATTTATTTAATGCTTATTAACAAAAAAATAATATTTTTAAAAACATATTTAGATATATATTTCCATAACACTTATTAAAGAAGGAATAATATATTTTTAAAAAATATTTAAATATATATTTTTAACGAGTTTAAAGTCAATATCGAGAAATAAATTATGATGAAAAGAAATAAAATTTCACGGGTTTAAATTTAAGTTTTAAACTTAAGCTTTAAATTTAAAATTTTGTACATCGTCCGGACGTGCTCGACTACACATACAGGACATCGTCGCTGCTGTGTGTCTTTTTGGATACGTTATATTCGTGCGACAGCGGCAATGGCATTGGTCGGAATATGGCGATGGTGACGAGGAGGAAGAGGAGGAGGAGAAGCGGCGGCGGTGAGGAGGAGGACTACGACTACTAATGTGTCGTACTGTGCGTGTACTTAGCGGGAGGTAGAAGAAGACGCGGTTTGGGGTTGGGAGAGAAGCATATGCAGATGGATGGATTGTGGATGGATGGCCATTTATGGTCAACGTACGTATTTGGTCACGGTGAGTATGTAGGAATTAAATGGTGATCTTGATCTGATCTGCCAAGAGACGAGAGTGAGAGAGAGAGTCGGCTCAGCTACTCTCGATCGGATCATCGTCTTCCCCGGGGGTATATCAATGCTCCCAACGGCTTGATTTACCCATATTTACAGCCTTGTTTGGTTTTATATACAATCAATATCAATCATCACTCAGATAGTGACAAGAAAATAAACTATGGTGTTATTTTTTTTCTATTATTAACAGTTTGTGTTTGCAGTATAATTCCCTAAAGTGGTGAAATTCCACTGGTTGTAACCATCTTCCTTTAGAAGAGAAGCTATGTTTGGTCATATCTTTGTGTGATAAATTAAAATAAGCTCTCCTTTTTATTTTGAAACAGTGATAAAATAAGCTGGATGTCATATACTGTAGATTTTAACGATGGACAAAGACTAAGGCTTATTTTTTTCCCCTCTTTACGGGCACGCTTTTTAAGCTCCCCTAAATGGTCTGATTTCTTTTTTCAAAAGCTTTATATATATATAAATTGCTTAGAATATTTTTAAAACAAATTTTCAGCTTTGTTTATTTTATCTGTTTGTACTATTGAATATCATAAAAATTAAATAATCTATCATCCATTCATCTGTTTAGACTATTTTAAACTAAGCCTAAATCTATGGCAAATTGTGGTCATGTTTATCCATACAGATTTTTCATTGTATAAATGGTTTCAACCTCAAGGATCCTATACAAATTAGACCTTGGTGTTTTCTTTTCCCTAAATCGGTTGTTCAAGCTGTCCTGATTTTCTAATATTCATGCACTAGCTAAGCTAGGCAAAATCCAAGAATCTAGCTATCCAAATGATTTAAGTATTGCCAACGCCGATTAATTAAGTAATCTGTGCCTTGCTCCCCTGGTCTAAACCTGTCTTATGTCTTGGCCATATTTATTTTTCTTGGTGTTCTATTGCATCATCATGCATGTGCACTAATCTTCTTTCCCCAAGCAATAAACTAGGAGTTGCGCGTACGTTGCATGGTTGCCAACATGCAACAGGTCACACTCGCTGTGCCATTTCATCCGACTTGTTTGTTTATTTGCAAGATTCTTCTATATATGTCCATGCAAATAAATTCATTTCGTCATGGTTATTAATTTACTTATACGATTCTCCCATGTCCATGCAATTAAAATTTTATGTGTTAAATTATGCTGAAAACTTATCCATAGAAATGGTAGAAAAAAAATCAGGAAGGTAATGCTACATTAAGTTAATGGCAATTACGTACCAGGGGTAGGAGTAATTAATTAATTAACAGCTTTGTTAAGTTTCTCTTGGTGGTAACAGCTTTGTTAAGTGAGGCACATTCGCCTTAACTTTTTAACTTTACTCTTTGATGATCTTTACTGCATTTGCTCTAATCATCTCTTTTTTTGGGGGAAGTCAAACTTGGTCCCACCAACCTGCCTCACAAAGTCAGAATTAAAGAACCTGAATGCAGCTGGAGACCAGCCGCATACGTCACTATACATCTATCTACTTTTAGTACACTTCTAGGTAGAAAAAGTAGAAAACAACAAAAAAAAAGAGAAGGAAATTGCAATTCCATGTTACAGGACTATACAATGAGAATGAGTAACTGATACGTTGCCGTCGGATGTTACAATGATACATTGTTGACATTGATTTTGTTTGGATTTCGAGAAAATGACCCTTTTTTTCACAAGCAAAACGCCACCCTAACAAAATTCTCTTTTAAAACCCTGGTGAATTTCTATCTCTTTCCTCCCCCTTAAAATGTACGGCATTGTCCCCCTCGTTTCATTTAGAGAAACATTAATTTATAAACCCATGCTAGCCATGAATCATTAAGTTAATTTACAAAAGGTGTAACACTAAGAATACGTAGGTACTGTATAAAATACTAAAAATGATGTAATACTAAGTATTACTTTATATAGAAAAAATCCTATCAAATTAGCTGTTTGTTTGGAAGAGTTTTTGACAGATTCATTTTTTTCATAATTTTCCACTCGTCCAAACAATATAGAATATAAAATTCATTTTTTTTTCTAAAAATCCATAGTTATAAAATACAGAAAATAAATTAGAAATGGAAAGTTTTTTTTTTTCAAAATCCAAGCCCACCAAACATGACCTAAGTCTCAGTTTAGACTATTCTCATATCATGGCATATAGGCATAACAACCATCTAACAAATTTAATTCCATTGCTGAGTTAGTTTTACACAAAGACTTTCTTCTCATATTTCTTCTGAGAGGATACAAAGGACGTACACACATCACACCACCCATGCAACTTCACATGCACGCACACGCGTGTCCAACAAATACTTTAAGCTAAAGACTTGGAGAAGCTAAAGCTTCCATGCACGGGGAACATGACATACCACTGAACGCGCACGCGTGTGGGTACCCTAACCATTTGGGACTTAACCTAGAGGCCATATGGGAAAAATCCCCCGGTCCGATGCAGATAGGTAGCGTGCCAACGTGGCCATTGCCAAGCGCTGCCCCTGAGCCAAGAGTTCATTTGCTTATTCTCCTATTTTATTCCCCTACGTTTATTTCACCGCGTCGAGCTTTTACTCGTATTTTATTACCCACGTCTATTTTTTGCATCGTAATCGTACTAAATTAGACGTAACGTACCGCGTCTCGAGGACCCAAAACGAACCTAAATAACTTCATCCTTTTACACACCAAAACCACATTAGACTTAGGATTGTTTGGCTAGTAGCTAACACTGCCAAACCACAATTGAGGCAATTAGTTGTGGCTCACAAATTCTCAGCCAAACCTTAGACAAGCTTAGTTAAAAAAAAATAGGTCAATGACACGTGAGACCATATGACTGAAAAGTGCGGCGAGCCATATTTGTGGTAATGAACTAAATGATTGAAAAAAATTATGGCATAACTAAGATAGGCATGTGGTACATTGAAGATAGCAACCAACATCCCCTTAGTACTTTTCAATCATGGTAATATTTTTAGCCGAGAAACCAAACACCAAATAAACCATGTATAAAGAAAAATACTACTACTACTAAGTACCCAATTCAGCAGACAACCCAGCAGCAGCAGGAGTGGAGGTGGAGCCGTGAGGAGGGAAACCGGGCGCGGATAACGGCTCGTGTTGCGTCGCACGCCCAACCGACCCGACCCGACCCGACCCGGCCATCGCTGGATCGATGTGGTCGGCCGAGCCGCGTGCGGGTGAGCCGCCGCGGCGGTGCACCGTGGACCTGGCCCATGGTGGACGCGGGTTAATTAGGTGAGAGAGGCGGCCGCGCGCTTAACCAAACCCGAGCCAACAACGGCTATGGGCCGGTGGGGCCCACGGGGCCAGCTGGCAACCGTGCTGCTCTGTCTGTAGACCTGGTCTACGAGAGGACTGGTGTGGTGTGTCTCAAGTCTGAACCGTGAGGAGGAAAAAAAAGGATGGATGGGGGCTGCTTTCAGCTTTGACTTCTTCTGATGGATTGACCAACTAATCTTTATAGATCATGTGATCCTAATTGAATTTTTGGCGTTTGAATATATTACTAAGTTGTTATCAGGTGATCAAAGATGGACCTAAATCATGGTATGTTAGGATGATTACAACTTAAACTATATTTTTTTTACGCGGTGCCATCGGTTCACGACGTCATCTAGCGTGTCTCTGTGTGAGAGATAGGGTCATTTGATTGATAAATTTTCATGATTTTACAGAGTTGACAAAATAACGGGGAATAATAATTTGAAAGGGCATATGCCTTTGTTGCTGCCAAATTTTAATACTTTCATCCATCATTTTCTCATTATAGGTTTTTTCATGAGTGGTCTAGTTTGACGAGATTTTTGGACATTTGAGCCAATCCCGTAGCCAAAAAGAGGAGAATATTAACAAATGGCTAAACTAATAGTCTTTCATGCCTAATCTCACCAATGAATTTTCGTAAACTCATCTTACAAAATATGGCTCATTGAAAAATAAAAAAAATATCATAAATCCTACATCCGCTACATAAAGATTATCAACCCCATGATTTGATTCCAAGTAAGTAGCAGGCTTCACAATCTCGACTAATTTCTATCAACTTTTACGATTCCAATCGTCTCAAGGCTCGAACTATGCATCTCAACGGAAAAATTATCAAAACTCATTCTAAATGTGCCAATTTTCCTTTGAAATTAGCAAAGAAAAATCAATCGAGATCATAAACCTTGGTGAGTGGAGGTGGAGATGTTGAGCAACTTTGTCCCTAGGCCCTATCTAGCACCATAGCAGGTCTCCAATTCACACCAAGAGAAATCGACAATTTTTTTAAAGAGATCAATGTACGTGACAAATAAAAAAGGACACGTAGTGCAATGTGCATCATCATCACCACCTGCCTAGAAAGGGGATTAATTAACACTGTAGTGTTAGTGTACATGCATTGGCACGGGTGTGAAGTGCTCCTCCTACTTACTCCCTTAAGCAGGCACAAAAGCTTCACCTTTTCGTACAAAAACCCCTTTCTTTGTCTTGTGCCTTCTGAGTACACGAAGGATGTTCTTGTCCCCCAAAGCAAGCACGCTCGTACCATTTGACCAACCTAACCCTCACAAAAGCATGTGCTTAGCTTAATTAGCTAACATAATAGTGTTAATTTATCTCATCCCAATCTCTCATAAATTCTCCCTTAATTACAATTGGCACCCTAAAAAACATGTGCTTAGCTAAGCTAACATAAATCCTCCCAAGTTTCTCTCTTCATTACAGTTGGCACAAAAAAATAACATGGTTTAGCTTAGCTAACATAATTATGTTTGTTTATCTCATCCTAATATCTCCTAATCACTCTGTTAATTACAATTGGCACCAATGAGATGGGCATGGACAGAGGGTGTGGTTAGAGTATATTGCCCTTGGTAACCTGCTTTCAATTCACTTAATCCCCTAGGATCACGTACACGCATGGCGTGATTAAGCAGCTCACGACATGATTAGGGATTCTTGCGTTGCGTACCTGTGATGGGAAAGGCTACCGTACAAAGCTGTTCTTGCTCACTCACTCCTGCTGTCACGTCCATGTTGGAGTGGAGCAGCCTCAACTGCTGAAAATTTGTGATGAAATTTAATGAAGCAAGTACAACAACACCGTGGAGTTTAATCGTTTTTATTGATATCTTTCTTACATCCATATAATATGGCTTTGTCAATGCGGAATTTAAATCATGACAAGATCCGAAAGCTTATCTGGGGCAACTTGTGACTTGTAAATGACACAACATATAGTTTAAACTCTGATGTCTTACATTTTATGAACTGGGACAAAACAAAAGGGAATATGAACTTAAGAAATGGCACACTAAAACCCAGGTTTTATATGCCACCTAACACACAGACATAAACAATGGAATTGCTTGACCATGATTTGAAGTACAGAAAGTTGCTTGCTTGCATATGTTGATTCTACATTTTGTTCATGTCTCCAAAGTGTGTTCCACAATCAAACGCGAAACTGCATACTTGCAGAACAAAAAAAAAAGAACTAGGGCAAAATGATGATTGACAGACAAATTCGTAATGAATAGCAAATCTTAGGAATAACATGTCAAGTTTATCAGAACTGTCTTTATTAGAAATCTGGAGTCATGAGCGCACACCATGATGACCAATTCACTTCCTACTTTGATGTATTGGATCTGACGCAACATGGTTCACTGAAATCACTAGCAGAAGCAAATAGATCATTTTCAAAAAGGAAAAGGAAAATTGTGTTGTTGCTAATGCCTTACACCAGCAAAGTGAAAACTGGCATGCATGAAGCTTTAGGGGGTCGAAGTACATCTGCTACAAAACAGTGGTGTTCACGTCGAATCTCAACATGCTAGCGGCTGATGGGGGTGTGCATACGCTCAACAATTCTATTGATAGCATTCCGCGTCATTACAAGAGTGTCATGTTGAAGGATGCTGTATACATTTAGGCCCTGCATTTGATGATATTTAAGCATCAGTGAAATAATCTGCCTGGAAAACTATGCCATCTTCATTACTCCAATCAAGTGATGAGATTCAGAGACACTCACAATGGATGGAAGAACATTCACATAGTGAAGATTCTGGGTAGCCAGCTTTAACTTCTTATCAATGTCACCTCCATCTACCAACAAAACCTTCTTTGTGCCTTCCATCTGGCCAATGTACTGCACAATGTTTTTTGTCTTGTGGCTAGGAACTTCGAGGTCATCAAAGACCAAGAGCTACCAAAAAATGACAGAAGCAAACTTTAATGGTGAAGAATGAACTCATGACTCCAAATATTTGTCAAATAGGCATTTGTAAGAAGGCCAGAAAATGTCAAGATAGCTTATATGCAGGAGAGCTTATAGGAGCGAGTAATCCCATAAATACAGTTATCTTCAGTAAGGCGTGCAGATAACATTGGTTGAATATAAACATAGAGGAACAGGATGCAACTGAGGATTGATAGAAATGTAAGTGATCAGACCATCTTCCTAAACTTCACAGCAAAGGATCCCACACAGGCAAACACCACTCCCCCCAAAAAACACTCCATTACAAACAAAAAAAAAAGGAAGTCTTTCAGGTGACAAAATGCCGTGCCACCAATTTTTGTGAACTGAAGCAGCCAGTCTTGCATACTATCAGCAAATTATTTCTGGACAATAATACTGAACTAGGATTCAGTACAAACAATTCATTTAGAGCACAAATGTTTTGTGGGCATGAGGGGGAAGCTAACTACAACTGAGATCGCACAGAACACTCCATCATAAACAAAAAAAAAAGAGAAGGAAGTCTTTCAGGTGACAAACTGTCATGTCAAAAAATTTTGTGAACTAAAGCAGACAGTCATGCATGCAGTTAGCAAATACCTTGAACATAATACAGAGTGAAGATTCAATACAAACAATTCATCTAGAGCACAATTGTTTTGTAGGCATGAGGCAAACGCTAACTACAATTGAGAACATCAAAGAAGGAATGCAGTAATTTCAGTAAAGCTGCAGTTACCTTTCCCTCAGCGGTTCGAGCAGATAATGCTATCTTAAGTCCCAGACGCCGTACTTTCTTCTGCAACTTAATCGCATGACTTCGTGGTTTAGGCCCATGCATGGTTGCACCACCGCGAAACTGTTTCAGTTTTGGTCTAACTTTAGATAAAATGAAATCCAAACCAGATGTGGATACCTCTACAGGCCATAAACAACTTTTATGCCAGACAATATTCGAAATAGTAACATAACCTGAGGGCCGCGCAGTGTACCATGTCGTGCTCTGCCAGTTCCTTTTTGATTGTAAGGTTTTCTTCCTGTGCCGCTCACTTCACTGATAGTTTTAGTTGAGTGTGTTCCCTGTGAAGCAGGAAGGTCCACAATAGTTCAGAAAATCTCGTAAAGTAGATCGCAATAGTGTGGGAGACGAGAATTGGAGCCAAGCAAAGAAAATGAGATATCAGGTTGCACCTGCTGTCTTTTAGCGAGTTGCCACCTTACTACTCTATGAACAATATCCTTCCTGATTGGAACATCAAAAACATCACCATCTAAAACCATGAAGCCCTTATCCTCATTGTGGAAGTTTGTTACTCGGGCTACTAGGTCTTCATACTGCCCTGCAATACAGAATTTCAGATTACTTTATAACTCAGCCAAGTTCAGGAAACATATATCCTCCAGTCAGGCATCAGCCAATTGCAATACAATCATACTATTAAAAGTGAAGTCGAATTTCGAATTTTGAATTATGTACAATTCTATTCGATTAGATAAAAGTCAGATTTGTCAATTTAACAATGCAAAAGTATCATGTAACAAATTCATGCTAGCTAGAAAGAAACATGAGCAGGTAAATCTTGAGAAAATAGCATTTTAAGAAGGAAGCATGCAAAACGTAAACATGCAAAAAGGATATAGTAGTAGAAAGATACCAAGCTCACGATCTGGAGTCCAAACAGTCTTGCTGGATAGAAGTTCTTGTGGAATCAGCACTTCATTTGCTGGAGCCAAAAGAGTAGAATACCCATTCAAACAGACAGCAGGCAAGTTCTGCAAATAAAACAAGTGCCTGAATTACAATGCAGGATCAAACTTCCATGATACATACCTAAGGAGCATTATTTGAGCAAAAAAACACAAAAAGCCGAGTTTTCAACCCAAATAGCATTCAAAACCATGGACTAAGGAGACACCAAAATTTGGCCATCAACAGCACAAAGCATAACACAAATTTGAATGATTAGAATTTTGACAAGCCAAGAATGTAGGTGGAAGGCAACTGGAATAAGTCCCAACTGAATCGAAATTCACACAGGACAGAATACGAGTGCAGATGAAAATATCTCAATCCAAATGTGAAAACAACCAATATCCATTCTCCACTCTTGTTCTACTAGTTGGATTATGCGCAACCTCTGGAACAGTCTTACACAGTCTTTTATTGCCACTTAAACCTTTTTCTACAATGGGGAATTATTCATACTAGTTCATGTGTAGCTGGAACATTTTCTACACTATGGAAGATAGATTGTAACAGTTCTTCAAGACTTTAACATGTTAGCTAGCCTAGCCTAGAATCCTGCAATACTAGTTCATGATATGTCTCCTGACCAAATCACCCAAGCTCAAACTGCACATAACTTGGATCTAAGTGGTCGTGCAAACCTGCTCCAAAACCCCACCGCGATCCAGTGCCCCCCATTTCTTACACTCCCAATCATTCCGCACTCCACGGCATCAAACCCAACCACAAATTCTCGTCATGAAAACAACCAAGTAATTGGCACAGCGGCCACAAGGGAGCAGTATCTCCTAAATCCCTCCTAGCCCCTAAACCCTACCCCGAACACAGCGACCGACGAGAAACGAAGCAGCCGGAGGAGGCGTCGTATTCGGACGCGCTATATCACACCCGCCGCCGCACCGACGACCGGACGGGCGACGGGAACCGAGGCGAGGGAGGAGAACGAGATGTAAGGGAGGGGGGGGGGGGAGGAGGAGCCCCGAGTAGAAACCTTGGGGGGAAGCGGCGCGGCGCGGCCGCCGCCGAGGGCCGGAGCCGCCGCGCGGCGGAGCACCGACGCGGCGCGCAGGAGGGCCCGCATCGGACGGCGGCGAGGAGAGGCAGGCGGCGGCGACGGCGGCGGCGGCGGCGGCGGAGAGGCGAGCCGGCGATGTGCTGAATATGTTTTTCTCCTCTCCTCCTCCAATGCGGCCGTGGTAGTGGCGGCGCCACGCGGGGGCCGTGGGCTGGATGGGCCGGTTGGAGTGGGTGGAAGCGGCAGTTTTGGGTCGGCCCAGAGAGGAGAGAGCTCGTTCGTGGGCTGGATGAGCCTCTTGGAATGGGTCGGAAGAGGCAGGTTTGTGTGGACAGGAAGGGGAATAAGTTCATCTGAGGTCCCTTAACTTGTCAACGAATCCGATTTGCGTCCTTCAACACCAGATACAAGAGGTCCCTCAACTATCAAAACCGGTGCACTCAAGGTCCCTCGGTGGTTTAGATGGCGGTTTTGGCTGATGTGGCACCTACGTGGCTAGTTTGACTCGGTCTTCATCTGACGTGACATTGACGTGGCGCTTATGTGGCAATTCGATCCAAAAATAATAATAATACCCATGGGACCCACATGTCAATTTCACACACAAAATAATAAAAAAATAGTGGGACCCTCGCATTGATAGGTTGTTCCCAGTGGCGGTGGGGAGCAGCGGCACGGGAAGGGGTCGCTGCCTCGCCGGAGTAGCGGCGACGGCGCCCGGCGAGGAGGGAGCCGCGGCAACAAGGAGACACAGCGGCGGGGAGGCAACCATATGCTACATGGCGCTAGCGCCACTCTCCTCCTCCTCCTCGGCGGCCCCAGGGCCGGGAGTTCCCACGGGGCCCTCGCTGACGGTGGCCGCGGCCAGGGAGATGGCGGCGGCGGCGGCGGATGGCTCCTCCGATGACTCAATGGAAGGGCTCATCGCTTCCTCCGCCTCGGCGTCGGGGCCTCCTCCTCCTCCTCCGGCTCCTCGCTCGTGCCGGGTACAGACGCCGGCGACATGGCGGTCGAGTCTTCATCATCTTCTTCTTCCTCCACAGGGGCGGCGGCTGCCGGCTGCACCTCCTCCGCCTCGCCAACCATCTTCCGCCATAGCCGCCACCTCCTCCACCGCCGAGGAATGCCGCGGCTCCCTCCTCGATCGCCGGCCACCTCCCGCCGCTCCTCCCTTTCTTGCCGGGCGCTGTCGGTCGTCGCCAACAGCTTCAGTGTGTCAACAAGAAGTAACAACAAGAAGAGGGCATACAGAACAAGCCGCGCACAATTTTCCTGGGTTACCCGGGAGCCGTTGTCGTTTGAGTGGTTCAAAGGAGTGATGAATGAGGTTGCTGAAATGGACAAGGATAGGCCAGCAGTATATTGACGGTGTTGGTGATCAATTCGTTATGCAATTTCGACCAGGGTGTGTCATAGAGCTGCACAAGGATGCGCCGTGCGCGGACAACTCTACTGTCGATGGTGCAAGCTCTGAAACCATGCCTCCTCATTGGGACTTTGGGAGTGAAAGGAAGAAGGAGATAGAGAGGAGGCTGGCACCGAGGTCCGTAAGCACGACGCGGTCGGGGGTACACGAGCACGTGGAGGACGCCGCCGCGATAGTGCATGGTAGGGGACTGGGGGACAGCAACAAGGCCTCAACGTTGCCGAACACCACATCGCGCTTCGCCCATTCGTTGGTCTCCGACGAGAAGACGTCCAAGGTGATGCCGATTCCCGCCGCCGCCCTGCTGGCTTCGCGCTCCGCCGCTTCGGCCGCCGTCGCTCTACTCCGCCCGTCGCCCCGTAGGGAAGAAGAGAGAGAGAGAGAGGATAGTGGGAAGACGGAAGGAGAGGATGACATATGGGGCCCATGTAGGTCCCACCATTTTTTATTATTATTTTGTATGTGAAACTGACATGTGGGTCCTACGGGTTTTATTATTTTTTCAGATCGAATTGCCATGTAAGCGCCATGTCAATGCCACGTCAGATGAAGACCGAGTCAAACTAGCCACGTAGGCGCCACGTCAGCCAAAACCGCCATCTAAACCACCGAGGGACCTTGAGTGCACCGGTTTTGATAGTTGAGGGACCTCTTGTATCTGGTTTTCCGGTTGAAGGACGAAAATCGGATTCGTTGACAAGTTAAGGGACCTCATATGAACTTATTCCACAGGAAGGAGGTGGGTTCAAGTTCTTTAATTTATTGCAACTTATCGCCGAGTCTGAAATTCATCTCTAAAAAAAATAGATATAGCATATCCCCTAACTCATAATACCGAATTACTCAAGGTACCAGATTGTATTATACTCAGTTTTAGCTGACGTGGTGAGCCGAGTCAACATGGACTCACGTGTGCTGCACATGTTAGTAACCAATTTTTTTACTTCCTTCTTTCTCCACCTCTCTTCCTCTTTCTTCCTCTCTCTTCCCATCTCCTTCAGGGTGGCGCAGCGGGCGGTGTGGAGGGGCGTGACAAGAGGTACGAGGGAAGGGGGCGGCAGCCACTGGCGGGAGGTTACACCGTGGTGATGGCAGCAAGATCGGAGTCATGCTCGTGTGGCCGGCTTGAACAGCAGAGAGGTGTGTTAACAACGGAATTTAGATCTCCCAGGCCGCCGTGTTTTTACACTAACAAGGAGTCGGCAAACTACTCCCCATGCCAGTCTCTGTATTCGCGCGCCCACTTCTTGTTGGTGTCCTGGCCAAATTCCATGCCCACACCACTATGCGGCTCGCCAGCCATAGGAATGGGCCTACTTCGAAATCGAGCTCCTCATCGGCGTCGCCGCAGACCGTGCCACCACTAACGAGGCCGAGCATGTTGATGTTCGTAGCGCCGAGGTCCTTGCTCGAGAGATCTGGCAGCTGGTCGCCCGCTGCCATCGGGAACCAAGGGGGGCCCGTTGCCTAGTGCTGTCCTTCTGGTTGTCCTTGCTCTAGGGGAAGATGCCACCCCCATGGCACCCAGATCTGATGGCTAGCCGCCCATCACTGTCGGGAGCTGAGGAGGTCTACTGCCTGGTGCTCTTCATCCAGTGGCCATCACTCTCGAGGAAGACGTCGCTCTAGTGTCGTCGCCATGAACTGCCTTCTTCCCTCTCGTCGGTACGCAGGAGAGGATGAGACAACCGATGGTGGGAAGCGAGTAGGCAACACTCATCGGCAGGGTCGGTCGTAGCTGTGGCGTGCCCTGGTGACGACGACGATGAGGAGAGGGAGAGAGAGGAGGGAGGAAGAATGTGATGAAGTGGGTTCCACTGTAATTTTTTTTATTTTTAATCGAAGACTCACTAACATGTGGGTCCCATCTTTTTTAATTATTGCAAGTGCCACATCAATACTATGTGGGACGTGGACCTAATCAAACTAGCCATGTAGACGTCACGTTAGCCATAACCACTGTACAAACCATGAACAAGTTTGTACTGGTTTTAGAGTTGAAGGACATGTTATATATGTTAGTTGGGTTTAGCGGTGAATTTCAGACTCGGGGTCAAATAAGGGACCAAAAGTGAACTTTGGCCTTTTTAGGGAGGACACAATCCAGGCCCATTCAGTAGGGTAGTGTTTGGTTGCAAGAATGGTATGGGATGGGACAAACGTAGTTTTAGGGGTGAGTGGGATGGGTTGGTCCCTGGAGACGAATATTCCTTTCAGATCTGGGACCAATCGATCCGGCCAAACCTCGCGGACGAACTCGTCCCACCTAGGACGAGCGAACGTCGTGACGACACCCTGCTCACCGCCCTGGTCGCCCTCGGAAGCGCCTGCGGTGACGACAACGGTGGGCTCGGCGACGGCGGCGGTGGGGGGCTTGGCGACGACGGATCTAGTGGTGGGGAGGGCGGTAGCGGCGAAACCAGCGATGGGGAGGGCTGCGGCGGCAGATCCTAAGGCGGGGGACTCGGTGGCGCCGGATCCACTGTGCACGCTCCTCCACTCGTCCGGCTGTCGTCGAGGCCGCTCGTCACGCATCTCCGTCCGCCGTCGTCCATCTTGTGAGCCCGTCCTCGCCACTTTTCCTCTTGCTCGCCGCTTGTGAACTCAGCCATAGTCCATCTTGTGAACTCTGCCGGCTTGCTCGCCCGCACGGCCGCCCGGTCATTGACGGTGGTTGCAAACGACGTCCATCCCATCTCTCTCTCACCCCTTCAACCAAACAAAAAATTGGGATCATCCTATCCTACAAACCAAAAATATGAGTGGAATCATCCCAACCCTAAAATCAAGGATGGTTCCATCCTATTCCACCTAGTCCCGAAAACAAACACATACCAGGTGGATTGGCAATTTGGGATTTTGCATTAAAACTTGGGCTTTCCGGGGCCCTTTTGATGGGCCTCAATCCTAGCTAGCCATGGGCAATGCCTTTATTCTACGTGGACGGGCCAACATTGATGTCCATCCGAACAATGTTTCTTGAGCCAGCGGACCCGTTACATTTTCAAATTATTGTTTGAATTTTCTAATTGCTTCTACTGTTTGCCTCAGCTCATTGTTGTTCTCCCTCTCTCGAGCCCCCTTCTCTTGTTTCTTCCTCAGTCCACTGGGGGTGATGGGGCGGCTGACCTTAGTGGAAGTTATGCGATTCGGGCGTGAGGGCACGTTATGTCGTGGGGTGTACAAAGAAAGGAGATGCCCTAAGGCCTAAGGCCACTCACAGTGCAAGCTATGGGGCTCATACCCCTAGCCTAAAAAGTTGGCCGAAAGACACCCACCCGACAAAACAAGCATCCTATTTTGTGTGGCTTTAATGGGATGAAGATACTGTTGAAGCAAACTCAGCCCACAGTGCCTGTTACCCCAAACGCGTTACCCCAAGCCAATAGACGAAATTTATTCCCCAACTACCCTTCCAGCTAGCGACTCGTCTTCTCCTCCTCCACTCTATTGCCATCGCCTGCCTCTCCTCCCGCGCCGCCATCCCCTCGTCTTCTCCTCCGCCCGCGCCTCCCCGCCTCCCACGCCGCCGCGCCTCCTTCTCCTCTCATCCCAAGCAGCAGCAGCAGCAGCAGCAGCAGGAGGTGGGGCAGTCTGCGACGGTCGGCGGCGGCGGCTTCCGCGACGGCGGCTTCTGCGGCGCGGCCTTCGATGGCGCGGTCTGCGGCGTTGTTGGCGGCGGCTCGCCGGTGCGTCGGCGGCCGGTGGTTCTTGGCAGCGCGCGGCGAAGACTCAGCGGAGGCTCTCCCCTCCTCCCTTCGCTGGCTCTCCCCCCCCATCTTCGGCTCTCCCCTCATCCGGCGGGAGCGGACGGCCTCACGCGCGCCTTCGGGAGCGGTCGGCGGCGGCGACTTCGGTGGTCTTCCAGAGGCTCGCCGGTGCCTCCTCTCCCTCGATCTTGGCGTCGGCTCGCTGGCTGTTCTTGGCGGTGGGAGGCGAGGAGGACGCCACCTCCATCATCCATGGGGAGAGGCGAGGAGGACGCCGCCTTCGTTTCTTGGAGCTTTGCTCTTGTGTTCATTGATCCCAAAATCCCCCTTTTTGCTGGTTTCTTTAGCTTGCCTCATCAATCATCCCAAGATCTGAGCTTGGTAGTAGTTCTCATTGAAATCCACCTGAAAAAAAATCCCCAGATTTTGCAGAATGGGTTCTTCGGTGCTGGCATGGAAGGGCTGGGAAAGAGAAAGAATTTTGTGCTTTCTTGATTGTGATTCAATCTGTTTCTGTTCTTGATTGTTCTTTTGAGATGGATGATCTGCAAGCATGTCACGATTTGGGGATTTTGGAGGGCGATTTGGGGATTTACTCCTCCACAGCGTAGCACATCCTCCTTTTCCTCGCCGCGCGTGGGCTCGAGTACGTGAGGAAGCGCGCTTCCCTCCTAGGGGGCGAGCTCCTCTGCTAGGGCGCGCACCCTTCTGCCACGCACGCGAAAATCCCAGTTGGCATGGTGGAGCACCGATCCAGCTCACTGCACTGTGAGAGGTCTAATCGTGGCAGTGGGCGACAGTGGATTCCAGATCTCGTCCTTACTGTCGCGCGCCAGTAAGGACGAGATCACCGGCTTAGCAGTGCATATGCAGCCGTTCACCCCTCGTCGACAATCTGCCATGCAGTTACAGTGGAGGGTGGTCTGGATCTGGTACTATGGCGAGCTCGTCAAGGAGGAGGCGATGACACCATGGGGCTAGGTAGAGCTCACCGCTAGTTAGAAGGGTTTTTTTTTTCAAATAATGGAATAGTAATCTTGGTCTTTGCTAAAAAAGCTACAACTAAGTTAGAAGGGGCTTGCCAATAACTGCGAGTGAGTGAGATTTTAGCGCTTGTGCATTAGCGCTCCTCTGTTCCGGTGCCCTTCCCGCCTGAGTTCACAGCACTGCTCGCCTGTCTCGTGGTTCATGGTGCGCTGGGAGCGCACCCTCTACATGTCGGGCCCCAGGAGCCGCCTCCTCCCACCCTCGACGACGACGCCATCGCCACTCTCCATGGCTAGGCCGTTACCGTCCTCAATGTGAAGGCCCTCGTGCCGGTCACCCACGATCTCGCCATCGACAACTGTTCTAGGTGGCGCAGATTGTTTCTCATGGTCCTCGGCAAGTATGCACTTGCCAACCACGTGCTCGTCATTGCTCCTCGTCTCAGATCAAGTACGTTGTATCTGTTTCGCCCGCGGCGAGCCATCCTCGTCGCTGCGCGCTTTCCCGAGCACACCTATTCGGCAGGAGGCGTGCTCTGCCGTTGCTGCCCCGCGGGCCTTCCCTGCCTCGGCGACACCTCTCACCAGGTGTCAAATGAAATTATCCTTTACTCCCTCTGTCCCAAAATATAACAACTTTTGAACTCTGACATAGTCTCTGAGATGTTATTTTAACCAAGAAAATATAATAAAATATTTTAAATAAAAAGAGTAGCATATTATGATAGTTTGTTTAATGATAAATTTAGTAACATCAATTATACATGATTAATATTTTATATTTTTTTGCTATTAATAGTCAAAGTTAAAAATGTTTGAATTATCACTATGCTAAAATGGTGATGAGTAAAATAAAAGTCATAACATAATGGGTTTAAAATATTGATGATGAATAAAATAAATATCTTCGAAATTAAGAGTGACGAGTAGTTTTTTTCCCAAAAAAGTGACCGGACTGAGAAGACAAATGTTTAAATGTTTAATGATAAATTTAGTAACATCAATTATACATGATTAATATTTTATATTTTTTTGCTATTAATAGTAAAAGTTAAAAATGTTTGACTTATCGCTATGCTAAAATGGTGATGAGTAAAATAAAAGTCATAACATAATGGGTTTAAAATATTGATGATGAATAAAATAAATATCTTCGAAATTAAGAGTGATGAGTAGTTTTTTTTCCCAAAAAAGTGACCGGACTGAGAAGACAAATGTTTAAATGTTTAATGATAAATTTAGTAACATCAATTATACAGGATTAATATTTTATATTTTTTTGCTATTAATAGTAAAAGTTAAAAATGTTTGACTTATCGCTATGCTAAAATGGTGATGAGTAAAATAAAAGTCATAACATAATGGGTTTAAAATATTGATGATGAATAAAATAAATATCTTCGAAATTAAGAGTGACGAGTGGTTTTTTTCCAAAAAAGTGACCGGACTGAGAAGACAAACAGAACATCAGGCCGAGCAAATACAAAGCCCAGAAAGGCAAATGACAAGAGTATAGGCTCTCCTGCAATCACTAACACAAATATTGCTCAGCTCAAGTTCACGTGCTTCTCGCATACGGCATCCATGCCTCAGTTAATAAGGTTGTGCAATGTTTGTTCGGTGAGCGAGGTGGGACAAAGGCCCTGTTTATTTGAGGGTCTAAAAAATAAGTCTCTTCACTTTAAGTCTGTAGAGTCCTAAACAGGAGGGACTAAAAAGGGATTAAAGTGCTTTAGTCCATAAGTCCCTAAGGGACGAGCTTATTGGGACTAAAGTAGCTCTTTTCCACCTGCTACCCTCATGCATAGGCATGGTGCATTTATCTTTACATAGTTTTAAGGGTAACATGGTCATTGTGTAGCGCATTTAATGAACTTTAGTCCCTTTTAGTCTCTATAACCAAACAGCCATAGACTAAAGTGATTAGTCCTAGAACTAAAATAAGTCCCTAGGACTTATGGATCCAAACACCACCAAAATACGCCCTAGCATGGAAAAAGTACACTGAAGGTCCCTCAATTTATCATCAAGTTACAGAATCATCCCCCAACCACAAAACCGGATACAACACATCCTCCAACTTATAAAACCAGTGCAAACTAGGTCCCTCGGCGGTTTTAAGCCTGGTTTTATATAACGTGGCGGCTAAATCAGCGTGAGACCCACATATCAGGATGCCAAGTCAGCAAGCGCCTCTCCGGCTCTCCCTTCCTCTCCTTTCCTCCTCCCCCTCTCTCTCTCTCTCTCTCTCTCTCTCGCCCTTCTCTGATTGGGCAGGCAGGCCGACGGTGGGCAGGAGGTCGCTGGGGTGAGGAGGTCCGACGGCCGGCCGGGGATGCGGCGGCGGCGATGTGGTGGCGGAGACACCTGGTACAAATCGAGCTTGTCTGAACGGATTAGCAGATATGTATCAAATCGACGAACTCAGCAGTATCAGATCCACTACACCCCGAAGCAATAATCGCAAGAGCAACCAGAAAAATCGGTTACCTTCACACCGATCTGAAGCTCCGTGACATCTCCGGACTTCTTGGCCGAAGCTAAAAGCCAAATCGAGCAAACGATGCATAAGCCAAACATATCAAGAACAAGAAGAATAGAAAAACAACAAATCTTTACAAGTTGGCTGAGCTATATATGAGAGGAGATGGGGATGGGGAACTGGGTTGTGCGGATACCTGTCAGGATGAGGGCCGCAGCGACGAAGACGGCGGCGAGGCGGACGAGCCGCGCTCGCCACCGCCGCAGAAACGGGTCCCACCCTCCCCTTGACCTTGGCCGGGAACAGCCGCGACTTTGCAGACGGCGACGCCGGTCTCGCCGACTCGTCAACGAGCACGACGGCCAGCGGGGAGGCAGCACTGGTGGGTGCCGGCTTGAGGTTGTAAAGGGAGAAGGCAGCACTGGTCGGTGGCGAGCCCGACGCCCACCCAGGACGCTGCCCGGCGTCGGCGCTCCACCGCGACGGCAAGGAACTCCTCGTCGACGGCTGCAGCTTCACTAGGTGCGGCTCCCCGCCCGCAGCTCCTCCCCCACCGCCGCCGCATCGCCCATCGCCGGCCGCCGACGCCCTCCTCTCCCGGCTCGCACTGGCAGCCTCGCAGAGAAGGGAGAGACAGAGAGAGATGAGGAAGGGAGAGAAGAGGGGAAGAGAGAGAGAGAGTAGGCTGACGTGGCCATGCTGACATGTGGGGTTTATATAGGTCCCACGCTGACTCAGCCGTCACGTAGGATAAAACCGGGGTCAAAACCACCCAATGATCTATTATGACCGGTTTTGATTAGTTAAGGGACACGGGATATCCGGTTTTGCGGTTGGGGGAACTCGATGACAAGCTGAGGGACCTTCGGTGTACTTTCTCCCCCTAGCATAGCTGCACAGTATGGGCCTCGAATTAATTCCGCAAAGCGAAAGGTCCGCAGCCCATTTTTGTGCGCCGGCAAGGACGAGATCGTTGGCTGAGGCTGAGCCGTACATGCGGCTGCTCACCCTCATCGACAATCTGCCACGCAGTCACAGTAGGATATACACTCCATTTCAATCGATCGATAGTTGGTACGTCGATGATTACCCTGTGGGGAAATCTTCGTCTCCGGCGAAGAATCATCTCGCAACAACTAAAGTATTCTAGCTATGCCGAATCCTCTCATCCCTTCTCGTTGGTGGCTCACCACTAACGGAGGGTGTGAGAGGGGTCGTGCGTCCTTGCTTGTCTAGTAGAAGTAGTAGTAATCGTTGTCTTCTTTGTCAGCTTCTCCTGTTTAGTCAGGTCAATTCCATTGATATTTCCCTTTTGCACGAGGTGGTCGGAGGTGGCTTTCATCTCTAGGAAGCAGCAGTAGTTATCGCTAGACTTTCTAGAAGTGGATCTCCACGCCGTCAAACCTCTACTCCTAACCGACAGCTGGGGTACTTCCAAACTGGGACAGCTGGGGTACTTCCAAACTGGGACAAAAACATATTGTGTCGGCCTTTTGTTTGATCTCCAGTGAGGTCTTTCCAAGGGGGTAGCCATGCATCTTCTTGATCTCTGGCGAAGAATCATCTCGTAGCGGCTGAAGTATATATTTTAGCTATGCCGAGGTGCCTTCAACCTCCGTGATGTGGAGGCCCTATTTGGGTAAGCTACGTACTTGGTTCCATTTGCAGCTTGCCATGCTTTCTAGGTTTTTCTCGCCGGTGGATGAAAAGATCAAGTTGTTGCCTTTGGTTGGGCTGCCTCTACATCGACTTCATCTCAAATCTCCGATGGAAATCTTTTGGGGTGGTGCTGATTCGTTGCATTGCTCGCCATCGCCTGAACCTCCATAACTATGAGGCTTTTTAGGGATTGTGCGGTGGCTTCACCTTATGCAGCTCACCTGGATTCTTCCTCCGCCGGCATCCAGCTTCATCACCTTGCTGTCGACGTTCAAGGCAGGCCATGGGACAAGGACTTGATTGCTTTTTAGTTTTCTTTTTAGCCCTTTTCCACAAAATGCTGCTCGAATGTGTTATTTGCCCAGTCTTAAGGGGTTCATTTGTAAACTGGATGTATGACAGTTAGTCCGGTTCAAAGTACTGTAAACCACTCATGTATATTTCTGAATGTTTAAATTAAATAAATACATGAGTTATGACGAGGGTGCTATTTAGCTGAAGACCGCAAAAGTGGATATCTAGAGTAATATATATACTATCGATCGAATTATTGCGTCGTGCACTAGGAGCTTAGTGATTGCAAGTGCGAGCGCTGCCGGCGTCTGTGTGTTTCGGATGGTGACTGAGGCGTATGTGAGCGATACACACCGTGTAAGCGTGTAGGATATGGTCGCTTCATCTTTTGCACCCCCACATGCATGTTCTTATAAGATGGCAGGGGTGTGCTATGTACGTACATACGTGTGGACACACCGCGTATGGTAGCACGTACGACGCTGAACTACAAGGCTGGTGGTAGCGTAGGCATACCATATGCTGAGTTTCGTTGTGTTTGGTGAAATACCCCGATGAGCAAGACATCTAGCTAGGGACACCAATGAACAGTCACACAACCTTAGTTACGGATCTTGAACTGAATTGGATGGGGCATGGGAAAAAAAAGAGAGGAAAGAACTCTATTATAAGAAGGTGAAAAAAAAAGTGATTGTATCAGTACTCGCTGTGCTTAAGGAGCAATATAATTTGATTGTATCAGGATAAGTTCATTTGAACCCTTAATTCTCCGTGTTTAAAATTCACGCTCAAAGGGGGCAGAAGCTGATAGGTGGGTCCCAATGTTTTTTTTAAAAAAAAATGCTGATTGGACTGCCACGTGTACACATAGTAGAAAACCACTCTAGATTAAGTCAGGGGGATAATTCGTCCGATTTTAGAAGTTTAGGGTGTGAAATATCTGGTATTCGAGTTTATGGGGTAAGGGGGTAATTCGTATTTTTTCCTTAAATTAAATAGTAATGAATAAAAAAGAGTGATTAATTCATACTTTACCTTAAATTAAATAGTAATGAAATAAAAACCACTCTAGATTAAGTCAGGGGGATAATTCGTTCGATTTTAGAAGTTTAGGGTGTGAAATATCTGGTATTCGAGTTTATGGGGGTAAGGGGGTAATTCATATTTTTTCCCTTAAATTAAATAGTAATGAATAAAAAAGAGTGATTAATTCATACTTTACCTTAAATTAAATAGTAATGAAATAAAAACCACTCTAGATTAAGTCAGGGGGATAATTCGTTCGATTTTAGAAGTTTAGGGTGTGAAATATCTGGTATTCGAGTTTATGGGGGTAAGGGGGTAATTCGTTTTTTTTTCCTTAAATTAAATAGTAATGAATAAAAAAGAGTGATTAGTTCATACTTTACCTTAAATTAAATAGTAATGAAATAAAAAAATGTGATTGAATCAAAGTTCAATCAGGCCGGCAGCACATCACAAGAATATCCGTGAATTCTCAAGCACATATGCTTGATTAACATATGCAGTACGATACACTCCAGATCAGCTGCAGCTCTCAGTTTATGTTTTTCTTGCTAGCAGTATCCATGCCTCCGTTTATAAGGCAGTGCAATGTTCATTCGGTGAGTGAGGTGGGACTAAATTAAACCCGCACTAGCACAGTAGCTAGCTGCACCGTATGGGCCTCTAATTAGGTTCCACAAAGCTAAAGGCCCGCAGCCCACACGCCAATTCATTAAGGCCATGCACGTCCATCCTGTCTCGTGTCGTCGTTGTATTGCTTGATATACATATATATACTCATATGTTTTGAGGATGGAGGTATTTTGTCTATGGTTGACACATTATCAACTTTATAAATATTATTATCAGTTGGTATCTTTCATTATGGTACGCATTTTTTTCCATGCACTTTATTGTTGCATATTGCCATTAATTAGAGAGATGATGCTTATATGTATTGGGTACACAATTATTTAGTATAATATGGTTCTAGAACTATACATGTCGGTATACATGTCGTATACGTGCAGCCGTGCAGGTCGGGCATCTGAGCAGTGGCGGACCCAGGACTTGAACTCAGGGTAGGCCTAGCAAAAAAACCGAATGCAATACAATATGATTCGATATAAAATGTGGTAAACGATACGGTATATAACTCTAAATGGTTCAGTACAAGTACAAAATGACAAATAAGTTTGAATCTTACCTAAATGAGCAACAACATCTGGAGGTGGAGGTGGTCCTTGTTCTTCACATGACCCTTCTTCAACAACGGTGTCTTCATCAATTGGAGCATCATCTACAACAGGAACAGATGACCCTTCATCCATATGTGGAATTGGTAGATCACAAGGTGCAACTTTCCAAAATTTTTTCATCTAAGCACATGCAGCTGCCTAATTCTATATGTGAGCACCTAAGGTTTAGAATTCTGTTTCTAAGCAACATGCACATGTCACCATGTCAATCCGGTTGAGCTGATGGCCTGATGCCCAACAAAAATAACTAGGTTGACTAAATGTCCGATACAGTTCCAATTTCCAAAATAAAAAACACCATCTGAACTCAAGCAAATTTTTTGCTGCATTAGTAGATAGATGAGCAAGAAAGGACAATTCACCAGGGAATTATATTAGTTTGTTGGACGAACAATTTGATGGAACAATTAGTACACATGTGAGAATATGCCTACAAATTTAAATGATGGATTTGCGTGCTTACATCTATAATTAGAGGGATGCATGTGTTTAGATCCGAAGAGGGAGTGATGCACTGGCGCTGTGGCGCACTAGCATTGGCCGGACGGGCGGACGGTGGATGGGGCCTGCTGGCCTAGGCGGCTGGGTGCTGGCGGCGTCGGGCGGGACGCCAGGAGCCCGGGAGGCTGCCGGGCGAGTAGGCGACAGCCGGACGCGGGACGGAGAGGGCGCGGCCAGGGGAGGAGAGCCGGAGACGCGGAGTCACGGAGAGGACGCGGCTGCGCGGGCGCCGGCGCGGCGCACGAAGACAGCTGCGCCGCCGGGCGCCACAGCTGGGCGCGTGCGGCTGGCGGGAGCCTGTAGGCCGCCGGACGCAGCCGCCACTTTATCGTTGCCAGAGCTCTCGCCGAAGCCAAGGACTGTCGCCACCACCCCCTCCCCCAGATCAGGCGGTCCCGAGCATCACCGACGTCAGATCTGGAGGTCTTGAGTCCCGCCGCGGAGAGCCCGGGATCGCTAGATCTGGCCAGTGGCCCGGGCCTCGAAGTTGACCGATGCAGAGGTGGACCTCGGCAAAGGCGGCTTCGTCGTGGAGGGAGGCGACGGTGATGGCGCCGGAGAATGGCCGGAGAGAAGGGCGTAGAGGAGAAGAAAAGAGGGTGCGGGGGTTGGTGGGAGGGGTGGCTTGTTTTAAAATGATGCGCGGGGTTTCGTGTGTTGGTTTTAGCTGCCCCCAGCACGCCAGCAAAAATTCAATTTCGCTCGCGATTGTTTAAGAGATCTGCCAGCAAAAATATGGATATTTTTGCAAGCGGATTTCTTAAAAAAAGGCTTACGAAAATAATCAATCTTCGCTGGCGGCCCACCTAAGGGACCGCCAGTGAAAATGGATATATCTTCGTGCCATGTACATACATACGTGTGGACGCGCCGTGGATGGGAGCATGTATGGCGCTGAACTACAAGCTTGGTGGAAGCGTAGGCCTACCATATGCTGAGTTTCGTTGTGTTCGGCGAAATACCCCGACGAGCAAGAAATATAGCTAGAGGCACCAATGAATAGTCACACAACCTTAGTTGCGGAGCTTGAACTGAATTAGATGGGGCATGGAAAAAAAAAGAAGGAAAGAACCCTATTATAGGAAGGAGAAGAAAAAAAAAAGAACCCTATTATAGTGTAATAATGTATCAGACAGTAGAAAATATGAAGGAAAAAGAATAATTTGCTAGTAGCATTTTGGAAGTTTTTATTTATTATAAAAACAATAGAGGGGACAGAAAAAAAATCTAAATCAAAAACAAAAAAAATTAAACAGAGCGGGAGTCGAACACAGGACATACGGATTGAAAGCTATTCGGGTACACCAGCCAAGCAATGAAGTACGACTTGTACTAGTTGAAAGAGCAACCAATTTTAACAGGATGAGCTTGGCTTGGCCTCCACCGAGCTCAGGGCCTCAGGCCCCTTCTCGAAGCTTGGAGCGCAGCCGCGGCGGCGCCATTGCTGTGGCTTGCTTCGTTTGAGCCGCACGCGCACCAGGTGCGACCGACCGACCGAGCGGCTGAGCAGCGGCGGATGAACCCAGACGCCGAAGCTGGCGTCCGAATGAGGACGGATTCCCGGCGGCGAGGCGGCCGTGCAGAAGGCGGTTATAATAACAACCTCGTGTTCTGGGTCTTGAGCTCCAAGAAATCGCCCTCCACCGCGCCGATCGCCGCTTCCCACCGTGACGCCGCCTCCTCTCGCCGCCGCGCACTTCCCCACCACCGCGCCCAAGAAACGACCTCCGCCGCCGTCGCTTGTCGCCCCGGCGGTGACTCCGTCCTGCAACGCCTCCGCCGTGACGCTCCGCCCGCAGCGAGCCATCCTCGCCGCCGCGCGCCCGCTACCTGTTCGACAGGAGGCGTGCCTCATCCGCGCGCTCGCCGCCGTCCCTTCTTCGCCACGCGCGGCGGGCACGTCCTGCAGTGCTCTCCGCCGTCCGCCGTTCGCGCCCCGCGTCGATGGCAAGAAGAAGGGCAAGAAATCTTGCACGCCTCCGAGAAGTGCCGGGTCCGCCACCGCCACCGCCACCGCCACCGCCGGCGTCGTCGTCCACATCCGACACATCACCAGATGGACGAGGACGCGTCGGAGGGTGCCTGCATTGCGTTTGGGAGGCGTTGAAGAGATGGGCGTTTCGGCGGCGCACCACTTCGACTGCACCGCGCGTCGCCGCCGAGCCAGGACCAGCACCACCCAAGCGCGCCGCCGCTTTCATCGCGACAGGTAACCATGCATGGAAGTACCAACTCGCCACGGCAAGAAAGAAAGAGGAGCCGGATGAGGAAGAGGGAGACGATCAGCCGCAGGACGGCGATCTGAAAGATGACCAGGTACTAATTAAGGTCCTCTTGGATTATCATACATTCTGTTCGTGGGGACGTCCTTGGATGGTTCTGTTGATGTTCCACTCAAATAATTGGGACATGTGTTGCAAACATCGCTGTCCCTGTGTTTTTATCTTAGGCCTTGTTTAGTTCACGAAAATAAATTTTTTTTGTCACATCGGACGTTTGACCGGATATCGGAAGGGGTTTTCGGACACGAATAAAAAAAATTGATTTCATAATTCGCATGGAAACCGCGAGACGAATTTATTAAGCCTAATTAATCTGTCATTGGCACATGTAGGGTTACTGTAACACTTATGGCTAATCATGGACTAAATAGACTCAAAAGATTCATCTCGCGATTTTCATGCAAACCGTGCAATTAGTTTTTCATTTTATTTATATTTAATGCTCCATGCATATGTTTAGAGATTTTAGGAGTGCTAATAAATACTATGCTTGCATGTTGAGCTCTAGATGTTTAGGCTATTCCCAACCAAATGACTAGGATAGTGTCCATATCATTAAATAAGCTGTCACTTAGTATGAAAAATGATGTGGCAAGTGAATAAATGAGGAAGGAGAAGGCCGGAACCATTGGTTTCTACACCATCCAAAACATCACGTGAGATACTAAGCAGCATTAAATTTAAGTATGTAATAGTGGTGTTTGCATTGAAAACGTAGTGCCTAGTACTAGTTTCTTGATGATGTGTGGTTTGTCAAAACTATGTCTAGTGTCTTGGGTTGGGAATGGCCATTAGTGATCATTAGCTTTATAGAAAGAAGATATGTGTTACTCCCTAAACCTTTTCTTTATCCACCCCTAGATGAAATTGACCATTTATTTTTGCCATATTATTTTAGGTTTTGGATAATCCTTACCAGAAAAAGAAGAAATACAAGGAATTCAATGATGCCAGGGCAAAATTCTCAGAAAAGTTCGAGTTATGTCATTTGTGCTTCTTCGAAGGAGCACCCAGATTTCCTTGGGATGGAGTCATCCGTCGCAAAGATGTATGTTTTATTTAATTAATTTACCCCTTCCTACTAAAAGAAAAGTGAGAGGATAGAAATAAACTTATTTATGAACAAAGTAAATTTACAAATTTGTCTTTCTCTCTATGCAGGTAATCAAACATGTTTACGAAAATCATGGACTTTATGGTGCTGCCTGCCCTGAGAACGGATGTGCTGTGCGATTCCGTACGGAGGAGCATCGTTTATTACACGTTCAGAACTGTCAAGAACTCCTCGAGGTGAGAGATTTTTAATATACCTTATTTAGTGCGCGCAATTACGTATATTAACTGTTAATCCAATTTGTAATTAGTGCGCGCAATTATGTATATCAACTGTTAATCGAATTTGTAAATAACTCAGGAACACCCGGAGTTACAGCAGTTGTCGAGATTTTGTAGAGGCGGATAGGGGAGTCACAGAGATTTTGTAGAGGCTGACGGTCGGAGGATTTTTTTTGTACAAATGGAATAGATTGCTGAGAGAGGTACATATAAATGTTTGTTCCCTAATGCGAAATGGAATGAATCGATTAGCACCATATTACACCTTATATGATAGAAACTGGTAGAGAGATTTTACTTTGGGTTTGACGTGAATGCTTTTGAATCATGCATGTAGGTGGAACGTACATGTCCGGGAAGCTGTGAGCAGAAGAGTTAGAAATCAAGATTAGGATTTGAATTGGTCACTGGAATCTTATGTTGGATTGACTTTGTAAAACTGTGGCCTTTATCTTCGTCTCCTGTTCTGTTTGCTTGACACGTAAACTATCATCAGACCTGCTTGGCACTATATATTTGATCCTGTAATAAATATCCATTTGAACTGTATTCGTGTGGAACTATTGCAAGCTTTCTGAAACTAATTCATGTGGAAGGGCTTTTGAGGAGCTTATCATTTTTATAGATGCTTTACTTTGTTCTGGCAATTTAAAATGTTCCCTTTTTATAAATCAAAAGGCTTGCTTAATTTGCTAGGCAGTTACTTACATCTACAGATATTTGGCAATTAAATTATAGATTAATTAAATTCTTTACGTTAATTTACTAAGACAATTAAAAACCCTGTTGTATTTTTAAAATGTTGATATTATTAACTTAGAATGAATTTCATTTGAAGTCCTTACTAATTCATCATGAAAAATTTCATTGTACATGTTTAACTTGTCATAAAACATTAAAAAAAACTCTATTTTTCCTAATTGTTGACGTTATTAATAAGGTAAATTTTGGTGCATGATACTTAAGTTTGTAATTTGGTAGAGGACATAAAAAAGGTAGGACACGAATTCGTGGTCATAGTTCATGGACATGAGAAAAATCGATCCTTGGAAAAAAAAATCCTCAAAGTATGATTATTTATTACTGGACACTCTACAAATCAAAATATTTATTTGTGTTTGCAAAAGAGAGAAATAGTGTCTAGACCCACTGTCATATTTTTTCCGAAAAAGTCCGAATCAACTTCCTAAACTATTGTGTGAGTACGAAATACCCCCTAGACCCGAAACCCGACATCTCTGACACACGCGGGGGAGTCCGTCCAACAGTTATGGCCTGACGTTTGGTTGGAGTATAGCTTTCGTATGGGTGGCGCGTGTACGTGTGCACGATCATTCTTCTTTGCACTGGTCAAACGCCGGGGCGCGGGGGAGGGGGGGGGGGGAGGAGGAGGAGGGGTTTCCCACCAAAATTTTGATTGGAATTTAGAAGTCAAATGACAAGGTAACATGGATGATAAGGTTTCCTTCAGGAAGATACCACAATCTTGTCAGCGCATTTTAGGCCCTGTTAGTTCCCACATAAAAATTTTACACCCTGTCACATCGAACGTTTGGACACCTGTATGAAGTATTAAATATAGAGAAAAAAATAACTAATTGCACAGATTGCGACTACTTTGCGAGACAAATATTTTAAACCTAAATGCTCCATGATTTGATAATGTGGTGCTACAATAAATATTTGCTAATGACGGATTAATTAGGCTTAATAAATTTGTCTCACGGTTTACTAACGGATTCTGTAATTAGTTTTTTTATTAGTGTCCAAACACCCCATGCGACACTCAATATAATACCCAATGTAACACACTAAAATTTTACACCCCTCGATCAACACCCCCTCAATCCCTTAAGCCATAAGGTGATTTCTTCCACACATCTGTTTACTAGCCTAGTATCGATTCTGGTTGCCCACAAAAGACCACATCATGTCGATAATATCATATAGTATATATAATCACAAAAAAAAGTAGATAAAAGGCCTAGAATTAAAAAAATATTAATAAAGAATAGTTAAAAATAAAT